GTAAAGATGCCAGTAAGTCACGAGCCATGTGGCAAGGTATAGATTTATAGAAATGGGTTAGTTTAAGATATGAGAACAGTTAACAAGAAGCCCGCCATGGCCATACAGTTTATAAGTAATATAAGCATCTGAGTGATTATTTTATACTTGGATTGTGGGACAGTGGGGCTTGGTGGAACCTGGAGAGAAGCTCTCCAGCAACAATAGCTAATTAAGTGACCTTTTAAATTTTATTCATCATATCTGATTTTATTTACTGTTATTTTTTTGTTTGTGTTTTGAGACTGGGTCGCTGTAAGCAGCCATGGCTTTCCTGGAACTCACTATGTAGACAAGGCCGGCCTTAAACTCACAGAAATCTGCCTTGTCTATTCCTTTGAGTTCTGGGAATAAAGGTGAGGACTATCATGCCCACCCAGCCCAGCTATATTTTATTTAGAATGTGCTGTGTGATGTTCTGTATGTCCTGTGGGAGCCCGTTCTCAGGTTCCTCGTGGCTTTATCCAGCAGGTCTGCATAGAGGATGATTTGGACCACAGGCCTGAGTGTAGGTGTCTGAGATGGTCTGCACTTGGCTGTGCTGGGGGCTGGTCTATATGTCAAGTTGCTGTGATTGGTCAATAAATAAAACCTGATTGGTCGTGGCTAGGCAGGAAGTATAGGCGGGACTAACAGAGAGGAGAAATAAAAGAACAGGAAGGCCGAAGGACTCACTGCCAGCCGCCACCCTGACAAGCAGCATGAAAAGATGCCAGGAGCCATGAGCCACATGGCAGGGTATAGATTTGTGGAAATGGATTAATTTAAGATATAAGAACAGTTATCAAGAATCCTTCCATGGCCATTCAGTTTGTAAGCAATGTAAGTCTCTGTGTTTACTCGGTTGGGTCTGAATGGCTGTGGGACTGGCAGGTGACAAAGATTTGTCCTGACTGTGGGCAAGGCAGGAAAACTCAAGCTACAAATGGTACCCAATGTGGGGCTTGAACCCACGACCCTGAGATTAAGAGTCTCATGCTCTACCGACTCAGCTAGCCGGGCAACTTTATTTATTACCATACAAATAACATTTTAATACAAATAAAATATCACCATAAGAATTAGTTTCCATTTTGAAACTAAGTATGGTTTCCTTATAACTGGAGTGCCTTATGTGACTACACATGTGAAGCACTAGTTGACTGCTTTCTGGGAGATAGCACAACCTATGTAAATGTTTAGAAATCGAAAATGATCAAATAGCAGCAGAACATCCTGTTCTCAAGGAAGAAACTTAACTACACAGAAGATTGCAAAGACTAACGATAATCTAAAGTGGTTTAGATTTATCCAAACAAGTGCTTCATTTGATAGTGCTGATAGTCAACAATGAAATTCTACTTTTTAGTTGAAATGTTATGTCTTAGGCCTCCCAAAGTGATGGTTTTATCAAGTGTCACCCTTTGAGAAGTGATAGCATCATGGGAGTAGAAACTTCATAAATAAGGTTAGGCCCTCCTAATAATAATAAGGAAACTTGTTTAGGCATTCCATATGTGAAAATGAAATAAAAAGAAACAGGTCATAAAGATGATGCTCTCACCAAACACCTATTTCTAGCAGAATGTTGATTTAAGTATCTCTCACCTCTAGAAATGCAAAGAATAATAATTTTTGCTAATAAACTATACAAGCTATATTATTTTGTTGTAGCAACAAGAATAGATTAAGACAACCTTTCCAACCAGTGTTTTCAGATCAGGGGTTGGAAAATTATAACTTATATGCAACATTAATTGATAAACGGTCTTATTAATTTAAAAAAAAACAGAGCCAAATATTGGGGTGAAAACTGAGATATCAGAGATACAAGACAAGCCACAGCCAACCTACCTTATCAACTCCTCAGCCTTTAGAGAGAACTACTTCCTGTATACTGATGCCTATATACCTTTCTGTGCCCTGCCATCTTACGTTCTCTCTCCATCCAGCTACATCACTTCCTTTTTCTGCCCAGCTCTATCACTTCCTGTGGGTCTCCACCCCTCTATGGTTAACTAGCACTGGGATTAAAGATGTATGCCACCACACCTGGCTATATTTCCAGTGTGGACTGGAACTCACAGAGATTCAGTTGGGACTCTGCCTCCTGAATGCTAGGATTAAAGTCATGTGCTAACACTGCTTGAACTCTATATTTAATATAGTGGCTGGCTTTTTCTTCTGATACCCACATAAGCTTTATTGGGGTGCACAAATATCACTACACGTATAAACCCATACTCTGCTACTACTTCCAAATGTTTGTTGCATAAATACAAGCTTTATAAAGTGTTTCTTATTTATTTATTTAATTTAAAATATTTATAACAGACTTGATGACTGAGACACTAAATTTGAAGACTTGTTAAGAAAAATGGAAATTCTCAAAAACTAATTGGGTTACAAAATGTCTTTTATTGCTAATATCATCTTTGTATTTTTTTGTTTTTTGTTTTTTTTCGAGACAGGGTTTCTCTGTGTAGCTTTGTGCCTTTCCTGGAACTCACTTGGTAGCCCAGGCTGGCCTTGAACTCACAAAAATCCGCCTGGCTCTGCCTACCGAGTGCTGGGATTAAAGGTGTGTGCCACCACTGCCCGGCTTCATCTTTGTATTTTATCTAATTCAATACTTAAGAAAATAGGGATGGTTGGCTATTTAAGTATCAGTATAATATCCTTAAGGCTGACTAAAACTGCTTAACTATATGCTATATGCTATCTGATCCTTTAGAATAAACAATTTGTTGACTTCTTTTATAGCTCTTAATACAAATAAGCATAACCTTCTGGAGATAAAGATAAAAAATATAGATTTGCTCCTCATCCAACCATCAGTGTGGGCTACATTGATTTTGATTCAGTAAACCACGCATGAGTGCTAGTAATGCCAATATTTTTTTCAGAAATAGAGAATGCTGGCATGTTGAGATGGTTCAATACTGCCGTTTAAGTATAGTCACATCTTGTTTAATGACAAATTGCCTTGTCAGAAATTTAGTTATGTGATTTTTGTGGTTGTTTGAACATTGTAGACTAAGTGTAAGCCCCTTAAGGCACACAAGTCCCTGAGGACTTCCAACTATCAGGCTCCACCTACATAACACAGAATTGCTCCATCAGTCAGACCCAGCCCACATCCTACAAAATAAAAAGCCCATAGTTAGGATTTGAAATCTTGCTAATTCCTGTACTTGCTCCAAGCTCTGGACATGAACTCTTACCAGTCCTCATCTATCCCTCATATTTAGTAAGAAAATATTTGTATCTGCCGTGGTATAAAATACCCATCATTGATAAAAAATATTATTATACAGTACATAACTCTGCATAGGAGCTAGTGATTCTCTATGAAGATGATGTAAATATTCATTATAAAGTCTTCTATAGTGTGAATCAACACAGTGATCCCACTTATCTGTGTTTCCTTTCATCAATCAACATTTCTCTAATCACCTTTCTTTGGAATATAGCTTTTTTATAAGCAACAAAGCCTTACTTTTGGTTTTAGAAGTTGGTGGTTACTGATTTGCAATGGTATGAAAAAGAATTATTATTTATGTGTTTCATTGATTTGCTCTTAAGTTCATTTTTATGTTCTTCTTATTATTGTTTATGTATTATATGAAGGTATGTTTTTACATATATGCCAACTGTTTCATTCAATTTATTTGTTCATCTAATTTCCTTACAAATGTATTTTAAATTTGCTACACTACCTTTGATCCCAATTGTCTTGAAATAATTGTTTTCTATAAATATAATATACAATTTGTGCTCTCATCTATTTTGCCATTTACCCATGTCCCCTGGAAAGAGCAAGTTTAGGGAAATCCTGTTACAAACAACAAAACAAGTTTTTTTTTTCATTAAAATTAATATGATAGCAAAATTCAGAATTACCTTTAGAAATTAGAAATTATTGTTAGAGCAACTCAATAATAATTAAAGAAAGCATTGGATTAGGAAAGAAAGAATCTTTCTTCTGAGACAAATTCTAACATAAAATGCTGGTCTCCTTTAATGAAGGATTAAATGTCAGCCAGCAGTTCATATATTTAGTCATCTAATATTTTCTCTTTTACTCTTTTTCTTTACTCCACTACATGTTTGTTTACCATTTCATCTATAATGATGTTACAAAAAATTCAAATGGCTCTTCTTTTAGTGTTGTGGATGATTTTTTCATATATCCTGTGAATGTTCTCCATTTGAGGACAATATATCAACTATTACCTTACAAGGTTATGTTATACAGTTTCTCAATGCTAAAATCATGGTTTGAGATTTCAATACATAAAAAATAAATTTACCAGAACTCCTCTTTTAATTAATGAATTCCTTATAGTTATCTAAGTCATTTATGTAGTGTCCTGAACTAGTGAAGGAGATTTATTTGACTTCTATAGACAGATTCCACATTGTTTTATTTATTTAATGACATTTTTAATTTCTTTTGGAAACCTAAATGACAGATATGCTTTGCATATCATGCAAGATAATTATCTCCAAAAAAGGTAACAATAAATACATGTAGTCTAAGATCAGTTTTAGTGTTAGTAACAACTCAAAGTTCTTGGCCCAAGATTGAAACTAATATTTCAACTAACCAATTATTTGTCTCTCATAAACTCAAGATAAATTATATCTGTGACTTATAGTGCTTTTAGAGAAAGTTGTGTTACTGTTTTTCAATGTATATGCATTATAAAAATTATTATGGAGAAATATTTGTATTTTAGCATTAAAATATTTAATATCTAGGCATCTATCAGAACTGAGAATTAGTGAACATGACCCAATCATCTAAGGAGGTCATAGTGACTAAGTTAAAACTTTATTTTGGGCATTCAAGAAAAAGACATACTTGGTATATATGTGACTTTCTTTCCTTTCTGTTTTGTTTTAGTTGGAACAAACAGAAACAGAAGTTTCAAAATAATATCTTTTCATGTGTTTTTATTCTTTGTCTGAGTGGATCACATTAATATGCTATGTCATTATAAAACAAATAAAGCCTGCATGTAGGTAGGCAAATTCATTGCCTAGTTGCTACATCACAAAACTTGAACACTTCCTTATCAGCACCTCTTGTATATGCTTTCATGCCTTGAAATATTCACACATTATATGCACATGTAATATATTCTTTGTATTCAGATATTCTATCCCATGCATGCATTATGAAACCACAATACCAGGCAGATCCCATAGATTTGCTATTTCTTTAATTGGTATTATTTTTGAATGTACATTCTTTTAAAAGTACATCTTTAGTTAAATACATTCATTCACATATGAACAGTAGACAAGTTTCCCAACATCTACTATTTCTTAACATGCAAATCTTAAAAATCATCTCAGCAAAGTTGCACAGTATCACATACATGCTACAAATTAAAAATTGAGGTCATGTTTAGAAAAACTACATAAACCAGAAAAATTCTACACAACCTCAAAAATTTGCAGGGTGGACTGAGGTTAGGTAAATGGAGGTAAAAGAGTAGTGAGGAGTAGATTAGCACCAGTCATTTTTTAAAGAAAGTTCACTTATAAAAGAAGTACTTCTGAGGTTTATGATCACTGTTAGTAGTTACATCAAGAATAACTATAGAAATTGAATGGAAACTCTTCTTGATGTTTAATCTTAGACATCAAAATAGGAAGAATTTTTATTGTCCTTTCAATATCCATTTATATTTATAATATTCAAATGACTATTTGTATCCTTTAATTTGTGTCAATTAAGAAATTTCTCTTTTTTTCCCTATGCAGAATAAAGAAATGCATTCTTGATTTTTCTTGTCTGGAAACAAATTAATTGACTTGCTTCGAATATGTAAACAACAATTTTTTAACATGACTTTAGTCTTATGACTGCAATAAAAGTATTTTCTCTTTTAAATAATATTAAAATATAATATATTGTATAATATGTCTATTACTTTAAATACTTGGGGTTTTCTGAAACAGAAAAAAGAAAAGTATGTAAATTCCTCTGTCTTTTATTCAAGAATTTAGAATGTGCAAAGTTGTCAATGGTAAGTGACTCTAAAAAAATCTCATGACATTCTATATATATTAGCTTATATTTATTTTTTAAATAGTATCAGATATTGATAAGTAAGTCCTTTTTTTTTGAAAAGCAAAATATGCCCCTTTGGAAACATAAAGTTAATCCCTAGAGGTGCATTTTTTATTATATGCTATATTTTGTTTAATGATTAGTTCTAAATAAAAAAATTAGTGTGATGACTGAGAAAATCATGCCATATTAATATCAGCTTTCACTCTTTTTTACTAACGATTCCCTAAAGAACTAAGAACATTTTTTTTAAAAAAGCTTCAAATTTTGTATTTTAAATTTAATGAAAAGACATTTTCCCTGTCAAATAAGACATATTTTAAAAAATTGACCGTGAGTTTTGAGGATCAAAGTACTTGCAGTTATGTTTATACATTATAAGAATTAGAGGTAAAGTATGTTTTTTTTTTTTTTTTTCAGGGCTGAGGACTGAACCCAGGGCCTTGCGTTTGCTAAGCAAGCGCTCTACCACTGAGCTAAATCACAAATCTAGGCATGGTGGTGTACAGCTTTCATCCTAACACTCTGGAGACAGAGGTAGGTGCATCTCTATGAGTTCAAGGCCACCCTGGTCTTCATAAAGAGTTCCAGGTCTGTCAGAACTATGAGACACTAACTTAAAGAAAAGAAAAACCCAGAAAGTTGACTGGAGGCTGGAGAGATGGCTAAGTGCATAAGACCACTTACTGATCTTGTGGATGACATGGGTTTAGTTCCCAGTACCCACATGGTGGTTCATAACCATCTGTAATTCCAGTCCCAAAGGATCTAATGTTTTTTTTTTTCTGACCCTTATAACCACTAGGCACACATGTGGTACACATACACACATGCTGACAAAACGTTCACACACAAAAATTAAAATAAATGAGTCTTTAAAAAGCAAGAATTATAAGCTTTAGTATATGGATTGCATCAAGTCTTTATATTTTTTCATTTACTTTTATAGCTAGAGTTTTTCTAACCTACTGATGATGATCTGCTGAAGCTATGTTGGGATACACTAATTCTTCTGATTGTATAAAAAATCATTTGTTAGGGCATGTTTTAAGAGAAGTAAACAATACTGTGACTGTATAAGGATTAACTAATTTCAGATGAGCAAGTACTACTTTTTCAGGAATCACTGTCATGTATTTCAGCATAGAAGTAAGACTTTGTGGAGTCTGATTGGTCTTTATACAACATGTCATTAACGTATAAAAAGTACTGTTCTACAAATAATTTTATAAGTTTTAGCTATCATTACAGGCTTTGCATTCATGATATACTTATCAATCAAATGGTGAATAATCATGGATATATAGTATTGTAAAATAATAGAGATCATTGATAAAACCTTAACATTAAAAGGAAGACATTTCAACAGCAAAGACATAAAACAATATAAATATTTTTTTCAGTTCTCAATTACATTTCTATATACTTCCTAAAATCTCATTTAGCTCATTAAATATCAAGAGGAGAACTGAAAAGTAACCAGATGGAAAGGTATCTCTTATGTTATTAATGCAATCATTAGTGGTTTGTGGAATAGTGTATTTTAAGTGTTAAACACACTTCTTTTATCTCTCTTCAGTCATTTACTGACACATTTCTAACTGCTCTCTTAGATTAGGTTATTTACAAGGAAGATGATATTTAATCCATTTCCAACCTCTTAATTAAAGAAATAATTATTATTGCTTCCATCTGCCCAAGCTAAAAATTTCACTTACATGTATAACATTTTTCTTTTTCCTTGGCCATTGGTAATAAATTAACAAAGGTTTGTGTAAAATCACGTGTACAAAAGATTACCCCCCCCAAACTTTTATGATGATTATGTAATCACAAAGTAATATTCTTAATTTTCTTCTCCCTGGGCATATTAAAATTTGTCCAAGTGATAATATTGAAAACTTAAGCAAAACAAAACTTGTATTGAACAGTCAATTTTTAACCAAATGCTGGGCAATAAGCTTTTAAAACATTTGGCAACATTGTTTCTTTTTGGAAGTCTATTATATGTAGCTAAAACTTAAGCACAAGATTGAAAAACTACTCAGATGTTTCTATTCAAATAGACATTACCTTTAATATATATTTTCCTCATGGTTTTCAGATATTGAAATTTCAATTTTTTCAAATGGTTACCTAGATCCTCAGTATATCTATTTTACCTCTTCCTAGAAATCCTCAATTTTGCCTGCAATTTATAAAGGTTAATCTTTAGATTATAGTCACAATTTAAATATTACATTCCAAAATCGTGTATTAAATTTGATAATTTTTGCTTTCTAAAACTCTTCCTAGATTTGTATTAGATCTAAACTTTTTAAAGAATCAGGCTAAAAGTGATGTTTTGTGCTTATAACTATGATTTTAAAATGATATTTGGGGCTGGAGTTATGGCTCAGCGAGTAATCCTGGCTTCTCTTCCAGATGAGCAGGGTTCAACTGACAGGACTCAAATGACACCTCACAACTATCTGTAACTTCATTTCCAGGGGATCTTGGAACTTAAAATAGACATACATATAGGTAAAACACCAATGATATAAAATAAAAATAAATAAATCTTCAAGAAAAGATAGTGTTTGAAATGAATACAGCATATGATATACAATTGCCATTGTATCTATTTAAAATTTTCTGTATTTTGATAGTTGCAATAATATAAAGTAGGTATATCAAATATGAAAATATTGTCTTCTGATTTTTCCCTATAAATTTATATGCATAATACATGTTGAAAATGTTCAAAATTTTGGCAATATATCTAACTATTTTGTGTTTTAATTCTCTGGAAGATTTTAATTTATACATATTATAGAAGTTTTGTCAAACTCATAATGTACAATGTTTCCAGGAAGAGATGTTAAGCACAGTGTAGTTTACAAATTTTAAAAAATATTGATTCAAAAATCTTATTCAATATCTATATTAAGGAAAATTATGAAGTCCCTAAAATCATGATATAAATATCAATATTTATTGGTATGAAAAGTTGACTACAGTTCAATGTAAAACAAAAATATAAAACAGTACATATTTTATTTTTGTAAAAATGTGTGCACACCTAAGAAAAAATATAAAAGTATGTACTAAATGAGAATGGGCTCCTTCTATAATGTTTACATGTTTCACAATTATGATTATGTATGTAAACAATAAAAAGTCAACTGAGAAGAAACATCAAATGTTCTTTAACTGGATCTGTCGAATGAATGAATTATATAGTCTAAGAAAGTTATTCAAGTTTCACACAATTTGATTATTTTTTCTAATTTTTAAAGATGTCTATTCTGATGATAAATGTTACATGGATTGAAAGCTGAAAGTAATGAAAAGAGGCTACTTCAAAGAAAAGTGGAAAATCTGTAGTTTAGAAATTGCATGGTTCTTGAAGAACAATTTATTTCCCTCAATGTTTGGAAACAGCAGGTTTTATTTTAAATGTTATGAATCAGCAAGGGAGAATTATTTGGAGTTAATAATTCTCATATAATGGATGAAGAAGTATGATGTAATCAAGGGAAAACCTGTTTCTTAATGAAACAACTGTCAGTGTTTGCACATGGACATATTCAATGTTTACAAGAAACAACAGATCCTTAGTTTTTCAGCAGTATCTTATAAAATGTCTAAAGGTAAAAATGAGATAGGGCATTATTAAATTTTCTTGCTAATTTAACATAGTCTACCTGTAGGTATGCATTATATGCATTTAGGAAAACAACTATTAAGGATAGTTCTTAGAATATTTTCAAATATTAAATCTCTTGGAAAAGATTTTTAAGACATCATCAGATTTTGAATAGCCATTTATCAATGCAACAGTTTCTAAAAGCACCAATTGCAAAACAAGAGCATGACATTAATAAAAACCACTTCCAATACTTAGTCAAAGCTACTAACAAATGTGTAGTATGCTCCAATATATTTGTATAGGAAAACTAATACAATTAAATAAAGGAAATAAATTGCATATATTTTAAAGAATATTCCTTTTAAGTAATAATTTTAAGTGAAATTATGTAGCAATTTTAAGTGTCTCATATGCATTTCCCCATTCTTTGATGATTTTTCAAAAAAGCAAGTGGCAACTTTTCATTGTGCCAAAATCAGAAAGAAGAACAATGCTAAGAATATGATCATGGAAGAAATTAAATTAATATTATGGTAATAAATACAGAAATATAATGAATTGGCTCATTTAGGCAATTTAGAAAAAATGAAGAAGAATAAGCTATCCTAAGGATAGCGATTATGTAAAAAACATATAAAATGACAATTTTACATTTAAAAATTATGCTCTTCACTAAAATGAAAGAGATTTTCCATGTACCCTTTCCAAAATAAGGTTTCACACATATACACAAAACCAAACCAAACAAAAAACCAACAAAAACCTGTGAATTTGCAGAAAATCACCCCATATTACAAAGGAGCCCAACAGCTAGGGCTCACCACCTGCGCCTGGCGTGGCCCAGTGTGACATTCAGTGGCTTAGAGCCTACTACCCGACCATTCATCTCATCCACTGCTTTGGTAGCCTCTTCAAAAGAAGAGAAGCAGACGACACCAAACCCTTTGCCTTGTCCCACTTCCATCATCACTTTGGCTCGACTAATTGATCCAAATGAAGAAAATTCTTCCTTCAATTTTTCATCATCGATGGTCTCATCCAGGTTCTTAATATAGACAGGCACTCCTGGAGGCCTACTTTTTTCTTTTAATTTCAGCCTTTCAAATCTCCGCCTTAACTCAGCAAAGCGTTCAATTTTCTTCTGTGCTCTCCCTACATAGAGGAGTTTCCCGTCTATTGACTTGCCATGCAGGTTTAGCACAGCTTTTTGGGCAGCTTCATGTGTCTCATATCTTACAAATCCAAAGCCTTTAGATTTCCCACTGACATCTCGTATTACTTTAACACTCTCAGTTGGCCCACATTCACTGAAAAGTTTCTTTAGTTTTTCGTCATCCATGTCATCTCCCAAGTTTTTCACGAAAACATTAGTAAATGTTGCTCTATCCCTGGTTCTGACTTCAGCTGCTCTCTCTTCAGGAAATTTGAATCGGCCCACATACACCTGGCGGTTGTTGAGTCGGACTCCATTCATGTGCCAGATAGCCCTATTGGCAGCAGCAAGGCTATCGAAATGGACATAGGCATAACCCTTAGAGCCATTGTCATCACATACGACTTTACAGGAAAGAATGTTCCCAAAAGCAGAAAATAAATAAAACAGGGCCCTATTGTCCACGGATTTATCCAAATTTTTGATGAATATATTTCCAACTCCAGACTTTCTTAAGCGGTCATCTGGCTGTGACCACATGAGGCGAAATGGTTTACCATTAATTAAGTCAAAATTCATTGTGTTCAAGGCCCACTCGGCATCTGCAGGAAAGCGGAAGTTAACATAACCATAACCCAGGGGGGTGCGGGTCACCGGGTCACGGCAGATTCTAGTGAAGCGTAGAGGGCCGGCGGGTCTGAACTTCTTATAGAGCATGTCTTCTGTGACGTCAGGGCCCAAGTCACCCACATACAGGGCAGCCTTGAGGTACTTCTTTTTCTTGCCAGCAGTATTAGGTTCCCCACTCCCCATCTCTGAGCGCTTAGAAGAGGATCTCTTGGGGAGGGGAATGAGGCGAGGCGAGGCCTTTCTCTAATCTAGGGGCCAAACAGCTGTTCTTGAACAGAAACAAGCCAAGGCAGGCGAAGGGAAGCTAAAAGCAGACTGTTGAGGCTGAGGCTGAGAAAATGAAGTTCAGAAACAGCTGGTCAGCAGGCTCAGAACAAATGTTATCAGACAAAAAGGCAACCCAAAAAACAGTCTGTTCTCCCTAAGAGGACTTACAGTTTTTCACCCCTTCAGATTTCAAATTGGTTTCAAAAGCCTGCGTTAAGAATGCAATATCCCCTTTCCCGTTAAAACTAAAGAAATCAAGGATCTGACTGGCTCCCACATCTAGCTTTGGCAACAGAGGCCTCCTCGGGAATGGATTTCTGAAAAAAGGATAGGCCCCGGAGCTCCTGTGGATTTAAAACGCCAGCAATCCCTTGCAGAGGCCAACTGTGTGTATTCCTCCCCAAGCCAGGGTCAGGTTTGCTGGGCGCTGCTAAGGCCGCTCAGCGCTCAGCGTCAGTGAAAGGCAACACTAGACACTTGGTGCGCTGGGTTCGGCAGGCAGGCTGCTGGGAGCGGATCACACATAGAGACAGACACACAGACACACGCGTGGGGAACCGGAGACCGCCCAGATCCCCAAGATGCCCACTGGGTACGGACCGAGTGAGGCGCGGTGATTTCTGCAGTCTGAGTGAAGCTCTCCGCAGGTCCGGAGGGACTGACTGGCAGCCGTGCTGTAGGTCTGCTCTGACGCGAGGCGGGTCTAGACAGATGCTGGGCGGAGTCAGCAGAGGGCAGATGCGCCAAGGGCAGACCCAGTGTGGACCTATAGACAAGGGTTGCTTCCTGCCAGACAGAGCAACCAAGGAACTAAGGGACTAAGATCTTGTAGCTCTGCTAGGGAGGGCAGGCGGTGTGCTAGGAAACCCGGAACCTTGCTAAGTAACTTCCCGCTTACAAGAGAGAAAAGAGAAGAGAGAAGAGAGAAGGAGAGAGGGAGAGAGAGGAAGAGAGAGGGAGAGAGAGGGAGAGAGAGGGAGAGGGGGGAGAGACAGAGAGAGACAGAGAGGAGGAAGCAGGGGGAGGGACTGAGATGGTGTTAAGATTGTCTTTATCAAAGTTTACTTATTTATTACCTTTAAGCATAATTTATACTGCTCATTTCAACATGATAAAAAAAATAGTTATGACCAGAGTAGAAAGAACTCACATTTGTTTCTGATGAATTTTCTTCTTTTGGCAGGTTGGGGTATGGTGGGTGTTGGGAAAGAAGATACAGGTAACATTTATTTCAGTGCCTTGGAAACTTGAGAGTTCATAGCTGTGCTGGACGTCCAGTGCTAAATGATCACTAGGTCAAAAGGAACACAGAGAAGAGCTTGGCCTTTATCCTTATTAATCCTACATAATGGTAGAATTATCCCCCAGGGAGTAGGCAGAGTTCTCTTTGCTCCAGTGATGTTAAGGTTTTAATGCCTGGAGAGCCATAAAATGGCTTTTGATGCAACTTAGTGCTAAAAAACGCTAACCTTTTTTTAAAATCAGCATTCAAGTTGAATACTTTAAAAGTCACAATATAAAAGTTGAAAAATTTATGAAATTATATAATTAACTTAGAAAGACAACATAAATATGTTAGGACATGTGCATTTTCTAAAATTAATTATAAATATCAATGTGAATTGTCAACTTTAAAGCATTATAGAGAAAAAGTTGCTGTATCTCTCTATCTCTCTATATCTATCTATCTATCTATCTATCTATCTATCTATCTATCTATCTATCTATCTATAATCTATCTGTCTATCTATCTATCTATCTATAATCTATCTATCTATGTAAATATCATCATCTGTCTATCAGTCTACTAATGGTGGTCTTGTGGTGCTGAAGATTGAATCTTGAGCCTCCAGCACTGTAAGTAAATCTTCAGAATTTTTAACAAGCTGTTTTGGAGAGAATTTTGCATTTTTAAGGAAATTCATGAAACTCAATCACACTTAAATCATCATGGAAACCATTGAAAAATCTTACCTTCACCAAAGAAAACAAAATAAAGAATTTTCAGTACTTAAGATGAAAAAAAAAAACAGATTAATAAGAAAACGATATTACATGTTCTTACCGGGGAAGTTCTTAGAATAACAAGCTAAATTTCAGTGCCTTTAAGATTTTTGGCATTTTATAGTATCTATTGAGTTGTATAATTGATTAAATGACATTTACTCTCAGTAATTAGTAAAATAGTGACTATCTTTATTGTGTCTCTATGCTCTTTTTCTAGTGTTTTTGCTTAATTAAGTCTTGGAGGTTAGGTATAGGGGAAAAAGGCAAGTGAACAAACAAACTATAGTCTTACTATATGAAGATAGGGGCCAAAAGTAGAAAGACTTATAGACATCTTGCTACATTTTTGCATTTATATATATAGTAGTCTTTCTGGGTCAGAGAGTACAAATCAGCAGTAAGTCCATTTTTTACCATGTATGAATGCCTAGGTTTGATACACAGCACCATTAAAAACAAAAATATGTACATTCATAATATAATATCTTTCATTATATATGTAAGTATTGGAGACATAATTTATTAAGTCATGTTAACATTTAGATTAAAATTTCTTTTATATTCAAACAAAATACACATTAGTGAACTATCAAATACAAAACATTTTTGTTGTGTTTGTTACATGTAAAGCAAGTTGATAATATATATAATTCTCATTCATATGTTAAAATCCTTTAAAGAACCACACATGCTTGAGGCATGGCTATATGTTCCTTTCAAAATATGAGACACATTTTACACAAGGAAAGAATCACAGCCAAGTGGCATTCTAAACTGCATTTCACTACACATTGTTTACAGTTCATAGGAATGTGTCAGTATGAGTGGAGGAAAACAGGAGTTCAGGTTTAGTTTTGTCCCTTGTCTTAACAGACACATAATATTGTACTTTCAAATAAAAATTTTAGCTGTATAAATGGTTGGGGATTTATTGTGAAAGCAAACTTGGTATTCTTTTGAAAAAACAAAGGGATGGCAGAATAAAGTGTCATAAAATAAGAACTTTACCACCTGAAACTTGACTTATAGTTTTAGAAAAGAGAAGAAAACAATTTCGATACCTATCTCAAATTTTCACATAGTAGCCTTAATATGAAGAGTAGTTACTTTGTATCAATCAAAAATTTAAAAGGTGGATGAGCAAAAACATAAAATTTAAAATTTTAAAATTTTTCATATGTAATATTAAGCCATTAATTCATCTGTAACCATATTGAACTTAAAAGAAATCAAAATTTCTTTTTGCCTTTAAAACACTGCACAAACTAGGTATAAGAGAAAGTTAACTCAACATAAAAGGACCATATTTGAAATGTCCACAGTTTATATTATTTTCAAAAGTGAAAATCAGAAGTATTTTATTTCAAGATAAGGTTAGGCAAGAATGTCTATTCATGACACTTCTCACATGTACTGTGAACAACAAAACAGAGAGAATGAAATATTTACAATGAAACATAGATCAGAAACTTTGAACTGTAAAATTGAAAAAGAAATAAAATTATACACACAAATATGAAAAATACCCTCTGTCCATGAATTGGAAAGTTTAATATTATCAAAATGACTATACTATCTGAAGATATTTAAAGATTCAGCCCAATCTCTATAAAATCACAATGACAATTTTATTGAAATAAAAGCAAATTTATCAAAAACAAACAATAAAGCTGAAAGCTGCCCAAATACCCAATAGTATCGAGAATGAACCAAACCTGGAGGCATCACACTTCCTGACTTCTAAATGTATATTTCAAAACTTGAGCATTTGAAACTATCATAAAACCAGACACACATTTCTGTATACACAATATTGAGTCTAGAATTAAATCCACATATATACATAAATCAATTTCTGATTCACAGTGTACTAAGAGTGGAAAATGGGAAAGGATTTTTTGGTAATTATTATAATTAGATTCTGCACAGCAAAAGACATAAGAAACAGAATCCAAAGTCAATCTATGAAACCAAGAAATATTTAAAATACTATCTCAGATGGAAAATTAATATTGAACTGAGATTATATAAAACATTTTCATATCTCAATATTGAAACAAAATAAAATCTTTACAAAAACTCACAAATCCACTAAACACAAACTGAATAGATATTTGTTCATCAAAGAAGCATAAACGACAAATAAGTATAAAAAATGATATTCACCAACACTAATCTCCGGAGGATTATAAGTCAGAGCCACAATGAGATATCTTATATGTGATGGGATTATTATGCTGAAAATTTTTAAAAACTTGCAAGTATTGGCCAAGGATGTGACAAAACTGGAAACAATATGACCTCATGGGAGTATATAATGGTACAGCTGAAATGCAAAACAATAAGGTAGCACGTTAAAACATTAGTGATCTAGTAACCCCACATATTGGTACACATCCCAAACAATTAAAATAAGTATCTCGAAAAGATAATTGCATTCCTGTTTTTATTGTGGTATTGTAATACAATAACCAAAATGTGTAAACAAGGCTATCTATCTATTGCTTAGTGACTGTAAAAGGACAAGTTGATATTTAAATACAGCGGAGGATTACTTACACGCAGCAACTGGTGATTTTTTAAATGTGACAACATGTTCAGAATTTGAGAAGATTATTTTAAGTAAAATAAACCAGTCATTGTAAGATAAATATTATATGACTCTACTGTTTTAAAGTATTTAGAATAGTCAGGTTAATGTAAACAAATAATGTAGTGGTGGTTGTCTGTGACTGGCTAAGGAAGAAGTGAGTAAATGTGGAAAAAATGAAAATTTGGTTATACAGAATGAATATGTTTGAGAGATTTGAAGTACAACATTACATCTGTGCTTCAAATCTGCTGTATTTTAATCTTCTTCATTTAAGAACGTAGTCAACTGTGAAGAAGTCTTTGTAATAAAATATGAAATAGAATTAGTAAAGATTGTGAGATGACTCAGTTAGAAACGTATCTGCTTAGCAAACATCAGGAAACTTAGTTCAGACTCCCAGTGCCTATGTAAAGAAATCTCTCCAAAAGAAATGGCTTTCACTGCATAGCCCCTGCACTGAGGGAAGCAGTGATGAGATAACCAGAGCCCAGGAAATCACTGGCCAGCCAGTGTGTTTAAATCAATAACGTCCAGGTTTAGTGAGAGACACTAAAATAAGAAAAATGTTTCAAAAAAAATAAGTTAGAGAAGAATAGAAGAAGAACACATCTAATGAAGAACTTTAGTTTGTGAGTGTACTCATAAACATGGGCACACATACTGAATGCACATGTGTGCATACACCCAAACATTCACAAATCATACACACATGCACACAGACACACACACATAATACCTGTTCAACCACTAAAATAGCATTATATACATTTTTAATTGTTTTTGTGTCTCTATATGTTTCTTTTTAATTTTAAATTATTAGCAAAGCTAATGTCAGATAATGTAGTGGAATACATCTGTAATGACAGAACGTAGAAGTGGATCATGAATTGAAGGCTAGCCTGATCCACTTGTCAAGACACTCTGTCAGCCCTCATCAAGGAAACTGCTCTTTGCAATAGACAGAGACCACTACAGAAAACCACAACCAATCAAAATGAAGAGTTTTAGAGCCCAATCCCAATAGATTAATCTACAAAACATTTCTGTACCTAAGACTCTAGGAACATTTCAGAAGATGGAGTGGAAAGAGTGTAAGAGCCAGGGAATTAGAGAATTTGATGTGAGATAGTTTATCTTAGTAATATGTGAAGCTACATTAAAAAATATCTCACTTCAGACACCGAAAACCACAATTTAATGTATTATATTTCTTTTCTGGCTATATCTTAAAAATATATCCTATGTCTTCTGGGAGGACCTCCTGGTCAGAGGTTTCAGTCTACCATGGCTTGGTAGCTCTTCCAAGTGTGGCAACAT